ACCTGACGGCCCTCGAGCTGCAGCGGGATCCCTGGGCCAAGCAGGTCAACCAGACGCTCAACCACCTGAAGAGCATCCAGGGCTACCTGGAGAACAAGGCCGGCGAGATCTGCCACAATATGACCAGGGCCTACACGGATCGGTAAGATATATGGGTCTATGGGGGGGATCAAATTATAGCACCCTTTTATTATTGGGAGAAGAATAAGGCAAACAATACAATACTGCAGCCTATAGGCTTTTAAATTCGCAAGAAATCTTAAATTTCAAGGATAATAAAATAAAGTTATTAGTATTTATAAATTACTAATATTTACAAATCTTTAGGACTAAAATATCACAAGAATTGTAAAATCATAAATCGCACAGATTTATAGCACTGCATTTTTTAGGCATAATAACGATATATTTAGGACAGGGTTGAATTTTGTAAAGTCACAAAGCATGCCTTCGTGCACGCGTCTATCTAATATTGAGCACACTTCGATTCTTCTTTGTGTCGCTGTCCGTAATACTTTTTTTTCGTCTCAACTCTCATTTAGTTCCTGGGGCAATACAATTCTAAATATAACGTAGCATACTTTTAGAGATGTTTTACCTTTAAAGCGAAAATCAAACTTCTAAACACCTGAAAATAGCCTGGCCACTGTTAATTGCGGCAAAGTCCCAATGGCTTTCTACCAAAAGTCAAGACCCCCCACTCCATCAAAAAGTCTTCCATTTAACCATAGTCACTTTTCCGACCGCCTGCAGCGCACTTGAAGCCGTATTCTCGGTCTGTCGGCGTGTTTGAGTTTTATTATTGTGTTGCTCTTTCCCCAACTGGCAGAGCAGCAAACAACTCAAACAATTGCAGTCGTGCACTCGGGAGTAGTGCACACAGTTTCCGGCTTTATCAGATAATTGAAAGTCCTAATCGTTTGATTAAGTTTGCCAAGTGTCATGATTGCATTTTTAGTGTTTTTCCAAGTGCCCACTTACGCTTGCCACACACAATCGCATTTATGATAGGTGAATTGGGCAGGAATGCTAAATATTTTGATGCCGGGACTTGAGAAATGTCCTTGGTTGTTTTAGGCCAAAGAAGTTTCTTGCATTCAGTTTAGAATTGTTGCAGCCACTTAGGAACTCAAGTGCTCTCTACACGATATGGCCAATAAACAATCAAATTGTCGTTTGATTGTCTAGATGTTATTTCGGTAAATTCAAGTAGAGGTTATAAATAGGAGTATATTCAAATGTACTTAAAGTTCAGACGGAAGGCATTGTGCTTTCAGAAACTTTAGAATTTTCAAGAAAACAATATTAATAATCGTGAGACAAACTAAGCTTCCTTGTAACTCAAGTGCTATTAGGTTTAAAGGTGTCTAAAAGTATGCAGTGAAAAAACAAGCTTACTAGCTCTTCAAAAATATTAGTAAATTATTTTATTTTTGGAAAAGAATGGTTTACTTTTCGAGCTACGCCTAATATTTTTACCGCCACAGCCTGAAGGCCTACTTGACCACCAGTCGTGCCACCATGGAGTCCCAACTGGGCGACACCACCACCAAGTGCCGACCCTTCTACGACACCTTCGACGCCAGCCGCACCTTCATCTGCCGCAACATGGTGGACTTCATCAACGGCCTGACCTTCTTCATCTTCCTCACGCTGCTCCTCTGGGCCATTGGCACTCCGGTGGGCCTGAACCTGATCACCGTGCAAACGCGACTGAATGCCATGCAGGCGGCCCAGTCGCGCAGCAAGGGCAGGCACAGGAGGAGCGACCGGAGTCCGGAGCAGGAGCAGCGGAGCGGGAGTCGCGGGCGGAAGAAGCAACGGACGAGCAGCTCGGCGACGACCAGCGGACGGAGCGGAAAGAGGGAGCAGAGCCGGGAGCGAAGCACTAGCAGCACTGCGAGACCGAAGCCACCACTGTAAGTCACACGTTGGGCGCCAATTATTTAATTTCGAAAAAGAAAAGGATCGTTATTTATGAATTGGCCTTTAGAACAATTTAGAATCGAAAATGGAACTTTAAAATCCTTGCTATGGGATTGTTATAAAATATTGATTGGTGATCCCAATTTATTGAGCAATCATTAAATTTCTTTTCTCAAATTATGGCAATTGGATGTTGTTATACACATATATTGGTTTTTAATGTACAAATATGAATTGAAAATTGATATTTATCATCCTTGCTATGGAATCAGTGATTGGTGACCCCGATTTCTAATTATTTTACATATCAAATGTGATTGACACTCCATTTTCTGGGTTCAAAGCTTTACTTATTAAAATCTATGAAATACATAGATGACTGTTGTGATTGGTGACCTAGATCACTTCATTTCATTCCTTTCCTCATACTCCACCTATTAATGTCGAAGTGTTTACCCTTACAGAAGACGCACTGCCACTGAAGAAACCCTGGACCTGGCCGACGAGGACTCCACTCCATCGAGACAGCAGCAGCAACAACCACAACGTCGTCCGGAGCAGAGTCAGCGGGAATCGGACAGGGAGCGGGTGCGGGAACGGGATCAGCGGAGTCGGGAGCGGGAATTGAGCCGGGGTCGCGACGTCTCCGCCTTGAACACGCCGGTGCGCAATCGCAGTCGCCAGCAGCTGTGAGTAGCCATCCCCTGATTAAGCCACTTCATCTCATTCCATTCCATGTTGCATATCAGGCGCCACGATCCCGAGGATGACAATTGGGGCTCATCCAGCGGACCCAGTAGGGCCAACTCGCATGAGCGAGAACGCGAGACCAGTCAGACTAGAAAGATACTCAATATTTGGCAGTCGCGCAATAAGATCAAGACGCCTCTGTAAGTGCAGGTCCCTTGCGATACCTTAGAAACCCCAAATTAACCCCAACTTAACCCCAAGTCGCCGGCAAGGCACTGAGGAGTTTGACTTTGAGGATGCCCACGAGGACAGAGGGTGGCAGGCCCCGAATCAAAATCCAAATCAGACTCAGAACCAGAACCAGATCTATAGCCACAATCAGTCCAGTGTTAGTCCCGAACAAAGGCCCGATCCGCGCAGCCAGCGCTCGAATCTCCGTGCTAGGACCAAGTTGTAAGTGACCGCGTTGGTGACCCCGACAGTCCCGAGACCACCCAGTCCACTTTGCTCACTCTCTCTGCCGTAGACGTAGTGCCAATGCGGATAGAGCTAGCAGTGAAACGGCCCGGCGTCCCATAACTCCCGTGCTCAGCGTGAACCCGGACATTCCGGCCGCCATTCCGATGCCCCGGACGCCGATGCGTCTCAAGAGCAAGGTCTCGCTGACCGCCCGAGCTGTGCAGGACATTGTCAACAAGCGGAATCAGCGTCTGTGAGTGCCGTGCCTCCTGTCCCGGACACCAAAGATAATCCCCAGCCAAAGTCACTGAACCAACCACCAAATCTCACCCGACCCATTAGTTCAGTTATGATATGATAATATGATAATATATTCTATACCACTGAAAAGTGAATAACCTTATATCACCCATAGCCAACGCACCGGCACCGATGAATTCGACTTGGACGAAAGCGATGCCTACGGTGCTGGAGGCCATTTGGATGCGGACGTTGCGGCGTAAGTTTGGAGAGATTTTAGGGTGTTACAGAAATCTTATGATCTATTTATTTACTATTTTAAATAAAATATCATAACCTCCTTTATGACTGGTGTGAAACTATGATCGTAATTAGTGTGGATTCGATCGAAAAAATATTAACGATCTTGAGAATGTTTACTAATAATCTACATTGGTGGTATGATCATAAAAAATAACTTTAATTCAGAATGGTCCCATATGATAGGGTCTTAAAGTGTAACAGGTATTTGGAACCAATGCGGATAATTAATAAAAATTATAATGCTTCACGCTAGTTACGATTGTAATCGAATTAGATTTAAAGGCACAGTATCATAAGTAACCTTAAAAGCACCATACTTAATTGGTATATTTATAATTTGACCAATTTATGAATGAAACTGTTTCGTAACCATGACGAAATGGGATCTAAATATTGCAATACCCAGAAACACACAGTCATAGGGTTTTCAAGAGTCCAGAAAAATTAAACGACCTTACGATCACTTGAGATTTCTGTGACACCTTGGGTAATGTGATATTGATAATGGTTTTAATGATCTTTCAGCGCCCGACGAACGCCGCCCAGGTCCGCCCCACCGCCGCCCCCTCCCCCAGCGGCCGGCTTGAACAGGTTCTACCAACGTTATTAACCGTTTTTCAGTTGCCAATGAGTTTGATTTTTGATTTTGCCTTTTGGTTTTTGATTATTTGATCGAATCTTGAGCACATGCCAGAGAGACAAGAGTACCAACCAAAACACACACAAATTCTTATTGTGTTCACAGCGACAAAGTCTATATATTCTGAACTTACTTTCTCTCCCCGCCACACTCCACCGAAAATCGATGAAAATCGATCCAAAAATATCAGTAGTGATCGCACGGTGCGCTGGAACGAGGATGAAACGGAGGATTTCGACTTCGAGGAGGTCGACGCTCCGCCGAAGAGTCCCATGTACTTGAGCCACAATCTCCATTGAGACCATCCGAACATCTCTTTGTATTTCGCTTTCTAGCACTCCCTAGATCGTAAGTCAAACTGTAGCTATAGTGGCGATCCAATATGTTATAGGCATTTAACAAGCGTAAATAAACAAGTAATCTGTAGCGAATTCACTGAAGTTGTTTTATGGGTAATCTAGAAATAGTCTAGTAGAAACTCTTTAACCATGTCGAGGATCGTGTGTAGTCTTCTGTTGTTATACTGCCTTACTTATGAGGTCCTTTGTAGAAAGTTTACTACTCTTCAGTTGGTTTCGAGGGTGCTTCTAGAACTATCCGATACCAATATGGTCATATGTCCACCGGCTATTTATGAGGCCTTGGCTCAAGTTTACCTAGGAGCCAGCGGAGAAAGTGAGGATGAGTTGAAGGACATTCTGGGCCATCCTTGGTATACAAAAGATCAGGACCTGGAGGCCTTTGTAGAGTCAAGGAATCCCGAGTTGAATATCTCGAGTAGAATGTTCCTGTCGAATGGCTTTCCCATTCTACCAAGCTTCCAGAAATTGTCCAAGAATTATTTCAGCACGGAAGCCGAGAGCACGGATCTCAGTGCCCAGGGAGCCAACAAGGTGAACCAGTGGATATCGAAGACGACGAAGGGAAGGATCGATGATCTCATAGATCCTTCCATGCTGGACGATGGTGCCAAGGTTATCCTGGCAAATGCCGTCAGCTTCGAGGCCTTTTTGAGGTTGAACTCTGTCGAGAGCACTTTTTACTTGCCGGATGAGAAGCGATCGGTTAAGGTGAAAATGATTGACATAGTGGGAGAATTCCCGTACAGATTTCAAAGTGCACTAGATTCGCACATTGTGACGCTGCCCTACGAAGGGTCATCTTTATCCCTGGCCATCATTGTGCCCAGAACTTTCCGGGGCATCGGCAATCTGGAGGACAATCTGGAGCATCTCGACCTGGACGAAATGAGTTTGAGAAGAGTTCACATCACCCTGCCCAAGTTCAAGATAAAATACGAGCAAGATATGGCCCAACCACTGATAGATCTCGGTTTAAAGAGTATTTTCAACCATGCCAATCTCTCCGATCTCACCAAAGCCAAGGAAACGTTGAGGGTCGACAGCATTGCACACTTGGTTTCTATTCAGGTGACTGAAATAGGAGCCACAGGTTCAGCAGCCACAGGTTTAGTCTGGATTTTTCTGTACCTTTTGGATTTTTAAACTGTTCTAATTTGCAGATACTGAAGTTGCGCGAACGAGGAGAAGGGCCGTACAGATGCCTTGCAATCGTCCCTTCCTGTTTGCCATCGTAGAGGATACTAAAATACTATTCTTTGGGCGTTTGAGTCGACCCGAATGGAATTAATTGGCTATTATACTGTACGATAATGCAATAAATTAGCTGTGAACAGAGGCAAATCGATGTCATTTCAGTCTTGTCATCTTAGAACTTTATAGTTATAGTTTTGAACCTCTTTGTAAAGCCTATTCGAAAAAGTCCACAGCTTTCGCTAGGATTGCCATTATATTTAGTTTATCGAATCGTTTGGAAGTGGGTTATACAAGGATCCTCTTTACTTCTTCTTCAGGAAGGGACTGACGATGGCTGGAGCGGAGTAGGTGGTGATGGGAGCTGCATAGGTGGCCACAGGAGCAGTATAGGCAGGAGCACTGTAGACCGAGGCAGTGTAGGCTGGAGCAGCGGCAGCATAAGTGGAGTATGCAGGAACTGCAGCAGCATAGGTGGTCACTGGAGCACTGTAGGCCACGGGAGCAGCAGCGGCATAGGTGGCATAAGCTGGAGCAGGGGCATAAGTGTTCACCGGAGAGGCGATGAAGCCAGCCTGGGCGGCGGCAATGCAGAGAGTCAAGCAGATGAGGAACTAAAGGAAAATACAATCGAATCCTTTAATAAATTATATTAACATTCTGAAAGTTGTACTTTAAATTACCTTCATGTTGATTTAATTGTTTGGGTTGGTTGGTCTGTCAGTGACTGATGCTGTTGGCTAAGATTCCTCAGCTTTTTATTGACCAATTGTCGCCACATTGCAAAAACGGGTTTATGGCTTAGCCAGACCAAATACAAAAATTCGAAATCAGAACACAATTGCTTCCGCAATGATATTTCTGCCAGGTAACGTTCATTGAATTTATTGGGAATTACCAATCATCGGCGTGTCAAACTGATTACTCTTTCTAGTGTTCGACAACTAAATAAAGAATGTTAGATGAAATATTTTATATGACTTTTCTGGCTTTAGTATCCTTGAATATTCTTGTTTAACTATCAATTAGGTAGTTGAATTGATAATTTCAGATTTAAAAGGTGTCGCTTAGTAAGGCTTCGGCTACAATAAAGTAGGGCGCAAATGACTCAGTTGATGGAGGATAGATCTGTGTGGCTTATTTCATTGAGCAAAGCTGTCCTGTGGTGGACATGGAAAGCGAGTCCTGTCAATTGTTTCAGTTGCCAACTGGCTTCTTCAGAACTATGTATTTACCTCACGAGCAGCGAATTGTTGAACTTCCAGGCGAAAGTGATACCCTGTAATGAATGTAGGATATAGTAAACCTGACACAGCGACAGTATTTATCCAGGTACTCACCTGTCATCAACTCCACGCTCTGGAAAAACTCATCCGGATGCACATGGCCCAGTTGCAGCAAAGTAGAAATTTTGCTGTTGTCTCCATTTCCGGGAATTACTTCAATTTAAGCTTCACTAATTAAACCACCGGATTAAAAAACAATAACAAAAAGTTTGTTTTGTTTTGATAGCGTTTTTGTGAGAATGGCACTTAAGTGTTACCAAAGCTGGACTAGGAGAAAATACTTCAAGACCAGTGTTGCATAATGCGTGCTGCCCTACGATTTCAGCGCGGGCTAATATCGATGAAAGTATCGTTATCGTTCAGTTCAAATCGCCGATAATTGCTGCCATAATTTAAATGCGTGTAACGGTTTTTTAAATTATATTTATACATTGCATACAGGCCACAAAGTATTATTACACTCGTTCAGTTAAAAGATGTATTATAATTGTTGTTAGCCAAAGAGCTTTACACTTTATTAAACCATATTTAATGTTAAAGTTATAAAATTTAATAAAGTGGCAAAAGTTTGTTTGATGTGGGAATTTATGAAATAAAAGTGCGCAGGCTTTTAAATAGTCAGCTGCATCAAAGTCATGTGAATTATCGGGAATATCTCTTCTGATTTTCGGAGACATTTTTTATTAGCCCGAACAAATCCTAAATATTTCCTTGGTCATTTTCCAGCGGCTTACGCAATTGGGAAATAATGTGGAAATCCAGCCGGGGCGATTCCCAGACTCAGTAAATCGCCGAATGCCAAGACCCAAATCGAATTTGATTTAAAAATGTCTTTAGCTGGCTGCTGGTTGCAAATGCAATGCAATTTCAGTTGCAGTTTCGCTTCGCTTACCACCTGCCGGGAGCATTTGGTTTATATTCATACCTTTTTTTTTTCTTTTTGTTCCAATCTGGTCTTAATTTGTGGCAATTTGTCGGACCAGAAACCCACTGGGCCAGCCACCAGCCACCATGTGCGTTTGTTTATGGCTTATTATTATTATTTTGTGTTTAGCCTAATTTTTCTGGCAAGTTTCTTGCACATTCGGTGGCCCATGCTAACCTGGTTGAACTCTTGAATTTTATGGGTTCACGGAAAATAAATTATATATATTTAAGAATACACAGAAACAAAAATGGAATAGTATTAAATAAAATAAATATTTAATATATAATTTAAAGATTCCTATGGCATATCCTAGTATTTAAAATAAAAAATATTTAATAACATTTTCTTACTTTATTTTTTATCAGTGTATAAAATAAATATAAAAGATATTTCGATAAGTTAAGAGTGCCAAATGTTCAGTTTCCTTAAAGCTTAAAAACTTTGTTCCAGTGCTGTACAAACTGTAATCCCTAGAACAAAAACTTTTCTTTGAAATCGTTTTACAAAATCTGTCGGTTTTATGGTTTACACCTCTTCTTTCAGATTTTCCCCGACCCCTCGTAGAAAAAGCTACATCCTAGTAAAGGACACCGCAAATCCTTCACCACAAATCCCTTGCACAAATACTAATAAAGACGTGTATTCGAGCGAAAAGCTGTCCGAAAATAGGGGGGGAAAAGCTGCACTTTTGATTTTGCATACTCCTGTGGAAAACGGAAAATGAGAGTCGTCGGCCCAGGAATCGTCGAAATACTGATAGTTTGCTTTACAAATGCACCCCAACCATCGCCATTTCCCCAAAAGCCCCTCATCAAATGGCGCTTAATAACATGCAAATGATGTGAAAGTGCATGGCGGAAAGGAAAAGCGGAGGGAAAATAGCGAATGCCACTTACATTGCAATCTCGCGGACTCTTCGCCCATTTTCCTTCGCCCACCTTATCTCTGCTCCTTTTCTTCCTTTTATTCAATGTGTGTCTGACACTTTCAATATTTTTCCAGGGCAAGCATTTGCGCCAGGAAAAACGGGAGCAAGAGTATTCAGTCAACCATCTGATTACGCCCAGAAAAAAATTGATTGCGCTAGAAAGAGGAAAAAATGTTAGTATGAGGTAAGACTACTTATGGAAGGGAACATTTTGGGGATGTTTAAATTGTCTGCGTTTCATTATTACCTTTAAAATTATTTATTCGCTATAAACATTTCACTGAATTTAAAATATTCTGTTACTTGAATTTTTCAGAGTGGTAATATATCCTATTTAAGTAATAATTGACTGATTAAATAAATTATATTTTTATTTAATATTTCACCACGATTTTATACATATTTTTGCTTGTATTTCCAAAACATCATCGTATTCGTCGTGCCACTATATTTTTAAACTTAGTCAAACTGACTAAAAGTTTTACAAGCTCTGTGGAACTGCTAGCAAAGTGACTTTGCTTTATGGTCTTTTTGCTTACATCTCCTGTCCTCTCACCTGTCACCACCCTCATACCGTATTCCTTATTCCTTATTCCATCTCTTAACTGTCCTGTGGGAGCTGCGTTGGCCAAAAGTTTGGCACGTTAAAGGAACAAAAACGGTGGCAGAAGGAGAAGAAGACCTTCTGCCCAACCCACCGCCACCCCCTTTCAGCATGGCAACCTTGAGGCATGTGGTATTTTTAGCAATAACAAAACAGATCCCACATCCCAGGGAAAGAGCAAGGATGCTGCTCCCCGGGGATTTGTTAGCCAGCCCGCTTCGCAGAATGGAATATTATGAATTACAATTTTCTCAGGTCGCGTAATTCGTGTAAGTGCTGAAATAGCAAAAAATAAGGGGGCGCAGAGGAGAAGAGCTGGGGAAAAGCTGGTTTTCTAGCCATCAGACGACAGTTTACAGCTTTCAGTTGGTTCTTAACATAAATTTATTGCTTAATTCCGCTTCTGGCTGTTGCCCTCTGTCCGCAAAATATTTTGCATAAATTTCTCATTAAGTTATTACAGTTTGACGGGCCTTGGAAAAAAGTTCTCAATTGGGAGTATAATGATTATGATTTTAAGTATTATTTACAGCAAAATTAATTATTATTTAAGGAATTAGGATTTTGTTTGTTTTGGCATAAATATAAACTATTTTATATATTTTTGGAAAGCAAAAATATTTTTTTTTCTTGCCAGCTGTTACCTAAAATAATATTAACATAATCTACAATCTGAATTTCTGCAGTTTTCATCACACTTCACTTACTCATAATTTAATTATAGCTTTTAGCCGCCTGGCAAATACCTTAAATATTTTTGTTGGCTACCTCTACCATAATTTACATAATCTTCAATCATAATCCAGTTACATAATTGGCTAAGAAAAAATTAATTTGAATATCAAATATCAGTTCGGCAAGCATTGCGAATTGCCAAACGCTTAGAAATGCATTTCCTGTTTGCCACTTTTTTGTATTTCGTCTGCCACTTTTTGCTGCTCCTTTTTGCGATTTACTTTCGCTCATTTGGCCTGGAAAATATTTGATGCAATTTTCACTTTCCTCTTCGCCTAAGTATGCAAATTTGTTGTTCAGCTGCCGTTTTTCTGTTTTTGGGCTGTCTGCAAACGTTTCCATTATGCAGGCAACGCATGCCACGCCCCTTTTCCAGCCGCCTGTCCAACTGTCAGTCAATCGGGGGGTGGGAAAGGGGGTTGAGGTATAACTGACAGCCGGTTTGGGCCAAATATATAAATCACGAGGTTAGTGAGATGTGAACGAAGCGGCCAGCGCTGGACTTTCACTTGGACTGCCTCGTTTTTCCCCCACTTTTCCGCTTTGCTGAGCCGCAGAAATTGATCCGCGATCCTTCACCAGAAAAAAGGGGAGCTCTCTTGATTATTTTACCATCGCTGAGGGGCTATCGTAATTATTCACAGATCATAAGCTCTCCGAATACATTAGCAACCGGCAATTGCAGGCAAAGTTGTCGGTCGTTGGCCGTTTGCCAAATTTTTGTTTTGCCAAAGTTCAAAAAGTGTTTATTGAGCAGAAACCCAAATGTAAATATCATAATTTAAGACAATGATATAATAGGTATAATGACAATAATTAAAAGACTAAGAACCTTATTTAACCAGCTGCCGCTCAGATAAAGCCTATTACGCTTGGTTCTTGTTATTTATTTGAGAACTCGTCGGCTGTCGTTGATGTTCTTTTTCCAAAATTTGCATTAAATTAAATATTTGATTATTATTAAGAAAATATTAAATATTTTTAAATAAATTTTTATTTTTAATTTAAATTATTTTAATATGTTTCAAAACACGTTCCGTAGCCAAATATTATCTTTGTGGAAGTTATGAATGTCTTAGGTTTTGGGGGCGTGTCTTGCACATTACATATTGCACCAGCAGCACATAAATTGCTAGGTAACATGAAGCAACATTCCACATTTTTGGTAGCATTGGCTAGTGGCTCTCAAACTGTAAGGCAAATACTAAATATTAATAAACTAAATAAAAACTAAAATGAAATATCAATAAATGGAATGTTAATTATAGAAAAACAAAGTGATTTTCAAAAATGGGAGTGTCCTTATAAAACATTGAAAATATGAAATTTGGGGAAATTTTCAAAAAAATAGTTCAAAAATTCCTGTTAAAAGGTTAGCTCAATAGTTCATCTTAAGTACTAGTAATTTACCGTTTAATGGGTCGAAGGAAAACAATTTTTATGTATATTTTCCAAACGAAATTGTCAATGGATGTCATTTTTTAATTAACAGTTTTTTGTTCATATATATAGCATTTCTTAAAACAATATCAAAGAATATATATTTGGCCAAGAAAAGAATAGAATTTACAATTGAAAGCTGAGCAAATATGGGTTAATGACAAGTCTAAGATTGCAGGAATGACATCTGGGTATAAAAGCGCTCGCACTTCTCCAGTTAAGGCACTTAATGGCATTACATCAAAATGCGCTTCTCATTCGTATTTTTCCTAGCCGTCCTCAGCTGTATCCTTTTCATCCAGGAGGGCAGTGGTGAAGTTATCTCTGATGATGAGTCGACGATCACCGGTATCAATAAATCCATATTCGCTGGATCTGATGACACCACCACCACCACCCCCTCTCCATTATCCGACACCACAACTCCTTCTTTGTATAGCTTGTCCGCTGCCCGGAGTCGCAGGCGGATTCGACTTGCCCTTGCGCGTATTCAAAGGCGGGAAAGGAAACTGCGCCAGGAGTTGGAACAGTTAGTTCAGCTATTACTTAATAACGACCTGAAAGAATAGGTGAAGCGAATTAATACTGTTTCGAGAAAACCTTTCCTAGCTGCAAAGAACATTTAATAAAAGCATTTAAAAAAAATTCAAAAGTCCTTACTACAGTAACGGGTCGAGGAATTGGTTATAGGGGGATATCAGAACAAACGTTTTGTTGCATACTATTTAAATACCCAGATTCCTTTAATATTTCACCCAAGTGGGAGGAGATCTATCCCCCATATTCCCCTGTGGATCTGCGCATGCCTTTCTATATCCCGATCACAAGCTTGTGGGGGAGTATGAAAACATCTGTAAGTCTTACTGAGCGTCCTTACCCGATAACATTTTTCAAAGGTGAAAATTGGTTAAGGTTTATCCGAAAATGTTTTAAAATGTTTTAGGTCTGTAAAACAAATATTTCAAAGGTGGTTTATTTCTTGTTTCAAGAAATTAAATTTATTATAACAAGAAAGGTTTTTTAAGCCTTTCAAACCTTTCAAACAAGAAAGAAAATTTATTAAAACAGGAAATACAATTCTTGTTTTAAAGGTGGATTCTTTCTTGATTCTTGAAATGAATTTTAAAATGAACCCTGAAATATAAAATAAAATCAAATTTCGTATTTTATGTTGCATATTTTATTTAATTAAACATTTTTAAATATCACATTTTTGACTTAACACAACATTTATTATCACAAAAGGTGATCACAAAACTCAGTATCTAGTATGTCTGTAACCATTTTCTTCGAATTTCTTCATCTGGAATAAATAGAGTAATTGGGATATGAAATATTTGTTTTTAAAATAAATACATTTTTTGAAATTATGTAATGTTAATAATAGGCAAAATAAATAAATAGGCCTTTCGTCCCACTTCGTTTTTTTCTGTCGTTAACATTCGGCAGCCGAAGGAAGGAATAGTTACTTTACTATATTGAAGGGCCATTTCTTTCATATATTCAAAGGCGATTTCGCCCTTTAATACGTAGAAAATGTTTTAACTACGACGGCTAAAAAATATATGAGATTTTCAATTTTTTAAATTTAAAGAGAAATTCTTTCTTGAATTTTCTTAATCTAGAAAGGTTTTTTATATTCAATAGCAAATTTTCCTATAACAAGATATTTTTTCTCTATTTTCAAAGTTATGCCGATTCAGTGGCGAGATTTCTAAAGTTTAGAAATTAATTTTTATGAGTGTATAGCATTTCTTAAAACAATACCAAAGAATATATATTTGGCCAAGAAAGGAATAGAATATACAGTTGAAAGCTGAGCAAATATGGGTGAATGTCAAGTCTAAGATTGCAGCGGTGACATTTGGGTATAAAAGCGCTCGCACTTCCCCAGTTAAGATACATTCAAAATGCGTCTCTCATTCGTATTTTTCCTGACCGTTCTCGGTTGTCTGCTGTTCATCCAGGAGGGAAGTGCCAGTGGTGACACAGCCGATCCCACTGATGAGACGACCACCACCGCAACCACCTCTGCCACCGACTCCTCTGATGCAAACTCCGATATCACTGAATCCAGTACCACTGAAGCCATTCCCGCTGAATCCGCTGACACCACCACCACCACCCCCTCCTCCTCCATAACCGTGACCGTATCTTCTTCAAGTAGTGACGCATCCGCTGCGGCCCGGAGGCGCAGGCGTGCCCGTGCCCGTGCCCGTCGACTTGCCCGTCGCCGGCAGGAAAGGAGACGGGCCCAGCAGCGCAGGAGAGAAAGGTTGGAACAGGTCCTTCAGAGGCAGCGCGAACGTATCAACAAACTGAGAGGGTAGGTGAAGCGAATGAATACCGCTTCGAGAAAACCTTTCCTATCTGCAAAGAACATTTAATAAAAGCATTTGAAAAAAAATAAAAGTCCCTATATCAGAACTATTATACTATTTAAATACCCAAATTCCTTTATTTTTACACCCATACCATATCTGGATCACAAGCGTGTTGGGGAGTACGAAAATATCTGTATCCCTTACTGGCCGTCCTTAAGCGATGCAATCTCTTCATGAAATAGCTAAAAATATATATTGTTCAAAGGTGAACGTTCCGATTGGACGGCCATTTCCCAAAGGAACGACCGATCAAAACTTACCAATTTAGATCAGGTTTATCCCAAAATGTTTTAGATTTATAAAACAAATATTCGACTGCCTAAAAAATTCCCAGAAAAAACTCTGCTTTTGTAAAAAAGCCAACAAATGCAAAAGAAAACCTGTCCAATGCAAGTGTACTGCATATTAGATCCGAAAATCGGCAGCATCAGTGAAATTGCATTTTCCGGTCGCTGCTAAATTTTCCATGCAGAGCTAAGGCCATCCCCTCCTCATAATAGGGGTGCTCTAGCTGACCTCCGGGGTCATCAATTTCGGGCTCACGTTTATTGACTGAACATTTTCGCGAAACGGAACAGAGTTTTGCATAAATCAAATGAGAAATGAGTGATGGTTTCGACCCAAAATTGGGGGAAAATTACATAACTTCACATGTGAAAGAGGCTTTCTTTTTTCATGGGGATTAGCTTTTTGATATAATGGTATTTAATCCCACAAGAAGAAAATATTGTTTTGATTTTAATAGGTAATAAATACTTTTCAATAAACAATTTAATTTTTAGAGAAATTACTTTTATATTTAGTTGTTTTGATGGTCAAATAATTAATTAATAATTAACCGAAACCTAAAGTTAAGGAAGTGCAAACACATATGCAAAGTGGAATGCTTGGGATTCAAAAAGACCAACTTTTAGAGTGCTGCAATTTTAATTTCTCTGAATTGGCCATAACTTGAATTTTTTAAGCTGCCCAATTAGCAAGCCTGAAATCGTTGTGGGCCAATAAGAGTGGGCAAAAAACCACTGGGACTTTCAGGTTTTTCGCAATAAAAACAAAACCACAGTTTAAGGCGCCTTTGGAAAAATAACCCTTGGACAACAAAAAAAAATCAGCAAACGAGGAAATTGGGAACAGTGGACCAGCAAAGAAAAGCTGTCGCTACCAAAAACAACAACAACAAACTGGACGATGGATGAGCCCCCAACCACCCACTTTAAGGCAGGAAAATGAAAAACGATTCGGGCGCCAAAAGAAGCAAAAATCGGTGAAAAACCTCAAGAAATGCTTGGAAAAATGCCCAAGTGACCCAGAACTTGTGCAAGAAAATAGTCAAGGTGCTCGAGGGTGAGTGAGGGGGTGGGGGAAGGGGGCGGAGGCGTTTGATTTTCCGTCGCTTTTGATGTTTTCCAACTAATGACGAAAATGTCCAGCAAAAACGGCAAAATGTTAAGCGGGAATGTGGAGCCTCTGTTAAGCAGAGAAATTAGCCCCAACAGCCGGCTCCACAAAATGGGAGAGCGTAAAAGAGAGCGGGTAACAGTGGTTTTTCGAACTGCCAACTTAACATGCTGGAATCTGCAATACGTTCTTATTAACAGTACATTTAATTTCATTAAATTAAAATAACTAAAAACGCATTAAAATCATAATGAAATCATGAAACTGTCCTAAGTTTAAAACGAACATGATTTCAAGTAACTTTAAAGACTAAAAGTTGAATATAAAGTAGTTATTTATAATTTAGTGTTTATGAAATATTCATTCTACTTCTTGTTTATTTAAACTAACTAACTTAAATGTATTAACCAGTTACATAATAAAAAAAAAAATATATTTTAACCGTTTTGTAAAGCCGGTACTCAAACCGATAAACAGAACTGTAAAATTAAAAATTCCCGCCAGAATTTAAAATTGCCGCCAGGAATTAAAATGACCGAACAAAATTCAAATAATTTTCGTCTTTACAACACTGAAAAGACGCGTTTGATAAAGATTTCGGAGTAACGGTCCTACAACTTCTCGATAAGCAAGCCTTTCTGACTGGCGCATACCGATTATTCGGCCTTTCCGCTTTGGACTTTGGCCGTGTGAGTATCGTTCTCTCCTGAACAAGTTTTCTTTAGTGAATAAACCCAGAATCAGTGATCTACCCAAATTAAATCGGCAAATACAGTGAAAATTTAATAAGTGTTGTCACGTTGTGTCCATGTTAAAAAATCTTGTGAAATTCAACCCAAACATATCTGTCCAAGTGTACGCGCGCCAGTGCAATATTACTCCATAAGCAAATCTCGTCATGCCAGCAAGTGTTTCAGCTCCTGTAAGTGTTTTACCCAATTTATATCTAACCACAGTCAATTGAAATGAAGTTTTTAACTTATCAACAAAATTACAGTCAATAATACAACATATTAAGACCGCTTTCAACGTTGGATATGGTTGGTAAGTAATCGCCTCCAGTCGTCTTTTGATACAATAATATTCCAATAATCTTGATATTATAAAACGAACTCAGTGATTAAAGTAAATAATATTTAAATAACAATAAGCTTGCTTTGTTTAGAAATACTTATTCAATATGAGCTTAGCGTAAACTTTATATGATTTGTAACTTTAATGATCACCTTTGTTATTATTACTTTTCTTATATTAAACTGTTATGAACATGAATTTAATTAGGAATGTAGTATATACATATGCGAGCAAGTAGCACTATGGATCAAATTGGAAACTCACTCTCTTTACCGAAACAAGAGCCTAAGCCACCGCGTGCCCCACTTGAAGCAACGCCCACCATCTTTCGTTGCTGTTCAAATAATTAATAGTTATAATAACCACTTAATTTTTAAAATAAAATTATTAACCGCTTTGTACAGCGGGTACTCAAACCGATTAATAATTTAAGAACTAAGAATTTAGCGCTGACTTGAACCTCTTGCTGCAATCGGTTAACAGAATCCGCTCTATCTCGTATATCTATTTTTTTTCTCTCGGTTTAACTTCGAAAAAAGGTTATCAAAGTTTACCCACCTCTCAAACAATTTTTGTTATTGCTTTTTCAACCGCTCTCATTTCTTAACAGAAATGCACATTGGGCCAGTAAATCCGATTTTTGGCCAAAAATACCTTTTTTTTTCAAGAAAATTTTGAGGTCCTTTTGTATAATACATTGAACTAATTTACGCCAAAGTTTTAAAGAATTCGGGCAGGTAGTTTTCTTTAACCGTATTTTCAAAGAAGGAAATTCATCATGATGGAAATTAAAAACATCTTGAAATCTTAGGAGAAAACAAGAAAAAGAAATAGAACATTTTTTTAAATCGATTGTTTGATAAACGTTGATGTGGGAGCCTCCGAAATCTGCAGTTTTTAACGGTTTATAAATCTTAAACAACATAATATTTAATAGTGATGTTAAAATTTTTTTAGTTTGTTTTATCTCATGCTTTATCGTGGATAAAAATAGATTGAGTGCGTCTTCTAGTTATTTTTTTATAAAAAATAATAACCGAAAAGTTCGTACAATTTTCCGACTTCGGTTTGGATTATCTACAGCTGTGAAAAAAATAATAGCACCACTAACCCAAAAAAATTTTAACTAGTCACCCTACTCACATTTTTTAACTTTTTTAACTTTTCAAAACGGGTTTTAAATAGTAAGACTAAACATAATTTGAATATGAAAAAAAGTGTTAGCTTTATAAAAGGTTTCTGGACTTATTTAAGAAAATCTATGCAAAACTGGAAAAACGTACGAAAAAAATAATAGCACCACTTCTCTAAAAATAGAATAAAAGGTAGAAAAATGACAAATGGGTAACTTAATCTTTAGTTGGCGGTAGCTAACAAGTAAATCTAAGTTTAAAGTGTAAATATCTTTTGCGATTTTTGGATATAATGACTTACTATCGATTAAACAAGTCAGGAGCCTACCTATAAAGGTTTGGGGCCCAAAAGTCATGATATATTTTCAAATTTTGTTCGGAAATGATTTAAGACGTTTTAGACTAACTGTATAAACTGTCTTTAAAAAAAAACTCGAAGATTTTTGGTTGTGTTATGGTCAAGCGAGTACACAAGTAACTGTATATTGCTGACTGAGTACTTTCGAACTCCTTCTTTGCTATCCTGTCCGTGATCCTGGTCGAATTTTATTGGTCAAAGATTCATTTAAGAAGTATTTTGTATTCAGTTTAAGCTACGAATTACTACCGTATTACTATTTACATCATAGGATGATTCATGAACGATGTATTCATCCGTATTGATCTTACTCCAAGAAGGAAAAACAAGCCTATGTTAATACTAGGTCCATGCTCAATAAATGGATGTTTTGGTACCATGTTTTTGGTCAATTTAGGTGTTTAGAAGACACATGACTTATAAAAAGGATTTCTTCTTACCCAATTTAACTTTGCCTTCACACATTCTCATAAGTTTGCGGGCATTCATTTGTAAGTTTTTTTGACGAGCCCTATGCCCTTGTAAATGTGTTTCGCATTTCGGATAGGATTTTTTTTTTGTGCTTGTTTTATAAATTTGTTTATTGAAACATTATCCAACTATTAAAATATTCGCTATTATTTTAAGCACGTGTTTTAGTTTAGTTTTGGCCCTGATAAGATTCTTTGTGCTTTGTGATATAACATTTTTGAAGGAAAAATGGGCCAGGACTCGGTTTTTCTGTGTTATCCTTCAAAGTTTATGCCATTCTTAATGAAGATGATCCAAAACCTAACCAATCCAACCGGTTTTCATGACCGTTTTTCATCCAATATGTTTCTTTTTTTAATATTTTTCTTTTCCGACTTGGAAAATTTTCCACATGTCCTTGTATTGCCAAATGGTAATCAATTTGATGTCTGGATATCAGGAGATGTTAGTTTTAGTCAAATCTCATAAAATATATCCTTTATACACAAGAATATTAGCGCATCGTAACGTTTTATTTTAAGAAAACGGATGTGGTGCTATTATTTTTTTCGGCCTTTTTTCAACTTTTTTTCTTAAAATCTGAAAAAATTATATGTAGACAATATTTTTGATATCCGTATCAATTTTTTCAAATAGGTGGAATACTAATCAAGATAATAAAAAACACTTCTTATATAAAAATCCCCGTTTTCCACATATTTCTTTAATATTAAGAACCTGTGACGAAGTGGTGCTAATATTTTTTTCGCAACTGTATATCAAATGAAATTCCAAGAAATTTTACTTTTAGTTCGTTAGAAAGTTCAATCTTTTAAGAAAAAAACGCAAAAAACTGCATCCTTCTAACTGTCCTAGGAGAGAAATAAAAGATTTTTGGCCAAAAAAATAACTTTCTGGCCCACTGTGCAATGTAAAAAAACGTCGCATCCTAACATTTTTCTGCTGAAAAGAGAGAGCGAGAGCAGAGAGGCTTGTTGCGTGCAACCAGATCGAAGCAACCAGGTTGGTTCGAAGTTCTCTTTCGAGGTTCGAGCGCTCGAGTGGTTCGAACGGTTTTTCGGTTTTTGTTATTGCTTTTTCAACCGCGATTCGTACTGCATGTGTTTTCGCGTGGTCCGTTTAAAACACATCGGTAACCGTTAAAGTCGCCGGGAAAAAACCGATATTGAAACAATCGAATTTTAAAATATATATTTTACCGACCGACAAGTGCGCGTTTTCATCGCTCGAAAGGCTCAAGGAGTGTGCGAGCGAGAGGGGCGAGACACTGCCGTTTGTGTGTGTGTGCGAAATAACGGTGCTCGGAATTCGCCCAACGAAATTTCAAATAATCGCCGTGATTATTAGAATCCGAAAAAAAACTGCCAACTGCAGCTAACGAAACAAAAACGAAAAAGGTAAAACAAACCGTGCAAAAACCAGGGAAAAATACAAATAAAAACAAAAACCGGTTCGCAGCAGAAATCAAAGCCAAAAAGGAAAGAAACAAAAATCAAAGACAGCGAAAGAATTTGTTGTTTGGCCGGTGCGTGTGTGTGTGAGTGGGAGTGCGTTGGTGTGTGTGAGCCTCTCGGAGGAGGAGAAAAACGCAAAAGTCAGTAGGAAAAAGGCGTACGTAAGGAAAAAGAAAAAGAGAGGAATTTCTCGTTTCCCCAAAACCCAAAAATACAAAATCCACGTAAACCCGTTTTCCTGCAAAAACAAAAAGAAGGTGAAAAAATCGGACGCCGCAAAAAGTGGCACAAGTGAAATTTTTTTTTGAAAATTCCTGCGTAGTTCGTTTTATTATTATTATTTTCATATTGCCGTCTTTTGACAATCGCCAAAAGTGAAAATCAATTTGCGAGAGCGCGCGCGCAAGGAGCAAAGGAAGTGAGAGAGTTTTCCGGAGTTGAGAGAGCGAGAGAGAGAATTTGTCCTTTTTTCGGGCTCCCCAAAATACCCAACCCAAAAAAAGAGCACGAAAACTGGACGAAAAACTCCCGGAAAAGCCCAAAACAACAACAACACACGCTGATAAACTGCAAAAGTAAACAAATTGCGCCGAAACTCAACGAATTTGGGGAAAATTGCAGCCAGACCAGAGGAAAACAGAGGAAAAGCAAAAAGGTCAGTAACTAACAAAGCCCACAAGCAGATTGATTGCCCGGAAAGTGAATTAAACTAAAGTTAAATCCGAGAAGTAAACGCGTTTTAATAGTCCCCCATTTGACCTTCACCCATGGACACCCTCGCAAATTGGCAGTATCACAGTATCAAAGTCGCTGTAGCAGTTAACCCTTAGCCTTGATCACCGTTAATTGGTAACCCCCACCCCTCCCCCTTCTCACATGGTCATGGTCAGTAGGTTGTGAAAATGGCCATTTAGTGAGGTGAGTTATAAGAGAGGAACTTAAGAGGGCATTGTATAATCTGAAGATGGTTACTTCTGGTTAATAGTTCCAAAATTTTGTAGACCAGAAATGGTTATTAATTAGAAGTTAGAAAAAAGAGTTTTTTTACATTCAATCTATTTATATTTTTTACTTTGAAATCCTTGGTCTCAATAGATGGACAATATCTAATTAAATTTTGAAAATCCCTTTACTTAAAAATAGCATTATTTAAAGTATTATATAAAGAACTGTTTCCACAGCTTAAGACCTAAAATCTTTCTTGTTTAATAAAAAATAGAATAACTTTTTTTATTAGTCCCACAAAAGTCTAACAATAAATAAATGACATCACTGTTTTTTGTAACTGAACGTAATGTGGGACTTTATTGAATTATAACGTTAGTCACAGTTACACCTGATGACATTTCTTATTTACCCAAATGTTTCACCTTCTTAAAATGACTTGCAATTTAAACTACAAGATTTTTAACAATCAAATATAATTCTTACATTTTGTATTAACCGGAATTTCTCGATATTTGTGTTAAGGAATTTGAACTTCAAAGCACACTCATTGGGAATATATTCGGTATGACAATGGCATCACGTCTACTTCTTGGTTTTCTTGACTGAATTTTTTCCTTAATCGCACCTTTTTATGGTAGCACCATTATATTGACCTTCACTCGAGTGGTTCTGCCAATAAAGAGGCACTAATAAATTTCGTTTTCTTTGCGAGTGATTTGGAAATTGCACGCTGCTCTTTTTTCAGTTACCTTACCTTTACCCCTTTTTCAGCCAACAATTTGAAGTTATCTCAGTTGTTTTTGTCCAACTTTACTCATAACGTGACTGGTTCTTGTTGTGGCTTATTGCTTTTTGTTGTTACACAAGCGTAACAATAAAATTTCAGACTGGCCCGCCACGAAAATAGTTAAAATTTTATATGTGCTGTTATGATCATGTTTTATCTGATAGTTGTTCGCTTGTGGCACGTAACACAGTTTGTTTTAAACTTTTTCGTTGATATAGGGGCGGGATGAAAGGGGGCATATATACATATATGATATATCACGTAGATCTGCGAGCGGAGAACAATCTGAGATCACAGAGCTGGGTCAGCGGCTGCTTTTTCAGTTCGAGTTGCTTAACTTGGATGCGGCTTAATTGTTCCAAAAATCTGATATCACAGGCTGCGCCCACAGTTGGTCTCAGATGTGAGCATTCCAAAGGGAATTAAAGCCCCTTCTATTAAAAAAGCGCTCTTAAATGGGAATTAAGTTCATTTTAAGAAGATATCAACCCCTTCACTTAATTTATTGTATTTAAAAAACTACATTTATTTTGTTCTTAAAAACTTTGTTTTAATTTACATTTAAAGATTTATTTCGCCAGAAAATGGCACAAGAATTTAACTTCACTGATCTAATCAGTAAATTTCTCATGCTTAGAGTTCTTAGAGTAGAACAGATTTCTCCCTTCCGAGTTGGTTTTAAAATTTAAATATTCAAATGTTCTAGTTTGACACGTTAAAGAAAAAACGTGATCTCACACTTCTTCCTTAACCGAATACTTACAGCTCCCAGTGTTACCTGGGTGCGTGATCTTGCTTAATTTTATAACTTGGGGTTTTTTGGTCATATCCATTAAAAACAATTTACAGATTTTCTTTGCTTTCAAAAGAAAGAAATCTGAATTCGTCTGGCCTACAAAAAGTGACATTTTTGTTCAAGATTTTGGCCAACATTTCGCCCAATTTGCATAAATTACGTGTATTCGAATTATTTGAAACGCTCCAAGTCGAGAAATTCGACTTTTATGGTCAGCCACTGAGAGGCCCAAGCAATTTTTGATTTATTTAATGAGCAAAACTGCTTCGTTCGATTTCTTCGGCTCACTCCAATAGTAATCTCTATGTAGCCCTCTCTCTTCGGGCCCGTAGGCGTAGATCTGAGATTGGTTGGCTGCCGTTGAAGTTTAACAAATTTAAAGCAATTTTCGTTGCTATTTTTGGGGTCAATTAAGTTTCGAGGGGGAGCCACAGATACGCAGAGCCGAGATAGTAAAAGGGGAGTTTGGTGTGGGCGAAGGAGTATTTTTCTAGACTTTTTTGCCAATGGAAAATTTAAGACCTGAATTAGAGGCAATGACTGCCGCAATTTTTCCTTCTTTCGCTGTCCCAAGGGCTTAACATATATTTACAGATGCAGGATAAGTCAAATATACTAGTACACGGCAAGAAAATATACGTTTTCTACGACGAAACTTAAAATACAAATGTTCCATAGAATTAGAGATTTCTTGGTATAGGTTTAAGTCTTTAAACAAATAAATTTAATAATATATCACTATTATGTCTAAGTTATCAATACTTTCCTTTTTCACTGTGTAAAAAAGCTAAAAAAATACACATACAAGAAAGAGCGAAAAAAGGACAACAAAAACAAGGAAAATCGATTTAAAACAGATGATTTGGCATCACCCCAGCCCATTTTGCCCCCTTTTCGGCCCAACTCCTTTTGCTTTATGTATCCCTGTGGCCTGTTTTGTTTCCCTGACGAAGGACCTCGGCATATCCAGCCCCCAGTTCCGAGTTGCGAGTTCCAGGCCCAGGCCTAATATTTCACAGGCCGTTAAGATGTCTGCGCAAGGGGATGGCGGGTGGTTGGGGTGGATTTTCCCAAGTAAGAGCAGTACAGTGGGGGCTGACGCATGGCAAAACGGTCAGCTGTTTAACGGGGAAAAAGGTATTTATAGAACTGTAGAAGGTATAAAGCGTAAAAGGATTATTTTTGGTATCAAAGTGCAATCAAAACAAGGTAATCAATAACCAATTAGGGTTTTCACAGTTGGTTACGAAAGGGTTCTATATAATCTTTAGAATTAATGTTGATAAACAAATTAAATCAATACAAGAAAATATATTTAGTTTCATATTTTAATTACAGTTCATAAATATTTAATGTAAATGGTATTGTAATAATTTTTTAAGGTTTTTAGTTGCTATTCATTAACTTTAGTGTTCACTGTAATGCCCCTCACTTGCCCTTCGCTCAACTTCTGGCTTCTTCTGTTCTGCCCGTACTTTATTTCTCTTCTGGCTTTCGCTCCTGTTTCTTTGGTTGTTTTTGTTTTTTATTTATTTGCCTTGTGCCAAATTCTCGCTGAACTTTTGAGGCCCCCAGAACAGCTGTGCGGCCTGCCCGGGCCTCGCGAATACATGTCTTTCTCCCACTTTTCCCGGAGCCAAAGTTTTCCCAGTTTTCCCAGCTCTTTTCCGCAGGCTGGTGTCCTGGTGTCATTAACACTAGCAGCGACGTCGGCAGCGGATGATGCGGATTTAATGAGCAAATGATTAGCATTTTTATGCGCCCACTCTGCCCGAAAAACCCGGGGAAGTCCCTCGAAGAGCGGAGTGAAAATACTGCCGCCTTCTGCAAAGCTGGAAAACTTAATAGTTGGCATTTTCCCCTCTATTTTCACTCTGCCCGCCTTTTGTCTGTCGCTGCACTGATAAGGGAAGGTGATAAAGGGAATCAACTGGGGGAGGGGCGGGGGTAAAATGGGACACGTGCAACGGATTGTGGCACAGAAATGAAGTATCCAGAGCGAAAGCCCTTAAGCGAGTCCAAATTAATGATCCCAACGCAGATTTATGGCCAACCAGATAAAGGAAAATGATGGGGAATAGTAAAAGAAATCGAAAGAAAATTGCAAAAAATAAGGGTTACCGTTTTGTTACTTAAATGGAACAAATACCTTTGAGTAAAATTTCAAATCAGCAGTATAATTACTTCCTTTACATTGCACTTCAAATTAGCTTTTACTCGCCTGCAATTTTCTAAAGTTTTGCCAACAGATGTGAAAAATCCTTGAACCAAATACAATACGGAACGGAAATGTTTGGGAAAACGCAATCGCATTACCGCCCGTAGCCTCCCCTCCCCTGGCAATCAGTTAAAAGCATAGTTCGAACTTTTGACGGGCCGAACAATGGGATCCAATGGCCAGAGAGCCCAGCCCTAGACTCTGATTTCGCCTGCATCCTGTCGGCACTCGCAAATGAAATTAACTTTGGCCCCCGCCGCCCTCCTTTTGTCACCCTGTGATTTCACTGCATAATGCAATTAAAAAAACAAGTAAAAAATATCGAACAAAAAAACGATTTTTCTTTTGCTTTAACCGCACGAGAAAAAGCGAATAAGCAGAGGGGAAAAATCAATAAGAGCATGGGGCGTATGGAAAAAGAATCTGCCACCACAATGCGCACCAAACAGCAGAGGATGGGCCGTTGTGGGAAAGTCAGCAAGGAAAATCAATCTGGCACAAGGATAAAACCACACGTACGAGCTCTAAATGTGGCCCACATATTATAGATACGATGCAAGGGACACACATGTCCCCAAAACGCAAAATGTAAAACTTTTTGGGCCACATTATGGGCGTGAATCAGGTGTAATAGAGAATATTTCAAGTGGAACGTATGCCTCGTGAATAATGCAGAGGGATGTGATATGTTTACTGATGCAATATGGTTTATGTGGAATGGATATGCACTCAAAGCTCAAAGGTTTTCATTTAGTCTGATTATTTCCGTCAATAATTTGGCCTCATTTTTCTTGGCATGGTCACACTGTTTTTTAATTTTGAGATATTTTTCGAATTCAGATGTTTTTCTTTATATATTTTGAGAAAAATTATAATTGGTAAAAATTTGTTGTTTTATTTCTTTTA